TTTGACAGAATTACGCGCACGCACATGGACACATATATCTATCCTATAGCATCTTTAAAACTAAGATATCCATCTCAACATTTATATCAATTCGATTAAGAAAGTAGCCCGTTATTAGTATGTAAATATGACGAGCATTTTCATTAATATTGGGAAGCTCAATTTATTGTTATTATTTTTGTAATAGTAATAAAATGAAAACTGAATTTTTCGAAAGAAAAAGAGCAAAGAATTAAGTCTTTATGAACTGTATTGTTTAGCTATCTTTGTTTAATATTTTTTAGAGCATGAAATACATTGAAGAGTGTTCTCAGTCCAGTGATATCAAAAATACTGCTATCAGAGCACACAGGCCAGTAATCTGCCTGCAGATGTGTAGTTCAAATTCTGCTGTGACTCAGTTCCTTATTTCATTACCAGTCAACGCCTATTACGTTAGTAGTAATCATCCAATTCATTTCTCACCACCAGTAATGATAAGCATCATAAAAACTAAGGTATGAGTCAGTTGATAGTATAAAACCTGTCACCAAGGTATTTATAAAACTGATAGGATTATAAGTGAGCTAATTATTAATAATAATATTGTTTCCTTTAATTCCTAGAGGAACATAGGGCTTCAGCCGTGCGTTTCCATTGCGTTCGGTTCTCTGCTAGAGTCTTCGCTTGGCTCCAAGTCTGCGCACACGTTTTCGTCTCCTCTTCACATGACCTCCTCCAAGTCACCCTTGGACGACCAACTCGCCTCTTCCCTTTCGGGTTCCACTCGAGGGCTTGTCTAATGATGTCACTTGATGGTTTCCTCAGAGTATGGTCAATCCATCTCCATTTCTTCCTGCCTATTTGTTTCACAATCGGTTCTTGGTACAAAAAGCCCTCGGAGTGTCAACACATAAATCAGTTCGTGAATATTTTTAAGCTCTCAACAGGATTCTCACTAAAAATGGACTTTGATAGACCCCGAAGTATAGACAAAGTGAATGTGGTTTGTATCTAGTAAGCAATAACCAAACTTATGCAATTTCATTTAAAGATGAATCATAGTTATTTGAGGAATTTTTGTGAATAACACAGGAATAAAACACTGTTTCACAATTTGAACAGAATATGTCATTGTTTTCATTGTGAATAAAACTTTCTGAATAGCACCGAGCGTAAATAAATAACCACAGACATTCCCTAATGATCGTCGTCAACCAATCAGCGCTGGGCGTGACTACCATTATCGTACTTATACGTCTTTTACAAACCTCGATGTGGTTAGTAATCTGTTATTAAAGATGATGAACACTAAACATAGAATACAGTCTTTCAGGTATTCCATTGAATTTCCTGAATCACACAATGGGCACCATCTGCAAGACGACATTTGATGAAACTATCATGAATTTATTTTGACTCAGCAGCGAGACAACCGGCCTTATTACTAGACTCTCCCAAGTTTCCACATAAGCCTAGTTGGATTAGAACATGTAATCAGTGTAATTATCTTAGTCTAAAGGTATTCATTGAAGTTTATTGGCCAAATTTGTAATGTAGTCAATTAGCTAAGTGACTTAAGAAAACTCTACACACTGTGGTACATTGTAATCTGATAATGGAAAGAATCACCTGTCACCATTAATAGATATTTAATTCTTAACCGTTTAAAAAAACTACATTGTAGCAGCACACGGCAAAACACGGAAGTAAAGGTGTATTTTCAAGTGATCAAACCGACATATATATATATATATATATATATATATATATATATATATAGTTTTATATACTTTAGCCAATCACTGTGATTTCGGTTTAGTTTAAACGATATGAAACAGAATGTTCAAATATACATAGTATTCTGTTGCTAATGCAGTATTGAATTGTGGGAATATGTGCGAATCATGTTCTGTTGGAACACATTGTCTGCATACACCACCACAATATATTTAAATATTGTAATGCTGTAAACTGGATCAGTATATGTATATAAGTTCCAAATAATCTAATCAAATTTTAGAAACCCCTTGGACAAAGTGAAGTAGGTAATCTAAGAATAAATAACTACGGTGTATTATTTACCACTGAAAAATATTTAAGAAAGTAAGGACACTATGGAACAAAATATTTTCACTGAATTTCCCAACACGATAAATATTTACAGAGTCTACATTGACTCTCAACTCAACAAAAGTCATTATACTGAAGAATAACCTAACTGAATGAATACAGTCATTATCGCACATAAGCAAATTTACTGAATGAGCTCGTGCAAGCACAAAATCTAGATTTGGAGTTTCTTGCCGATTGTCAATGAAGACTTAATATTAATGATAAGGTAAAAAGTGTGCACACCAATAACAATGAATAGGTTTGATCAGAATATGTATATACGATAATTCTACTAAACATATAACTGAAGGTGAAACTAACAAGAACTGGTTTGGCAGAATTACCACTTCATCAGTCTACCGGGTGAGCTACTCAAATCGACGATTTGAATTTTTGTCAAAACCCAGCTTTCTATTTCACCTTCAGTTATCGCATTAATTAAATTCTGAAGCTGCATCCTTGCAGTTTAAACTTTTACTGCTGCTACTACTACTAATACTAATACAGTAATTAACGCAGGAAACACTATCCGACTCTCCAACACTGGTGTCAAGCCAGTGCTTCTATGTGTTTCATAGATGCCGCTTGCGCGTCACAAAAGGCATTTCCAGTAAGATAAGTCAGATTTTCATTAACGGCTGAGTTCGCTGACCAGAGAGGTCAAGCAACATGGACCTCTGGAAACGAGCCAACCAAGAACCTACTGCCCAACAGAAGGAAATCCAGATGGACTGAACATAGGCTGAGGAGATTTTATGAGGAGGAAATCAAAACTTATGGATAATCGTACAGCCAGGTAAGAAAGAATGCAAGGGCCCAAATGAAACGGTGACGTGCTGCTGAAGTCCCACGTACCACTCGAAACTGAAATGACGAATAATAACAGCAATATAATGGCGAATTCAACCTCAAAAAGCATTTTGAGGACTCCGTTAGAAGATATCAGAAGATCAACAAGTCCTTTCATTCTTAATATTTGCTGTGTTTTGGTTTATAAAAAATCATGGGACAAACTGATGTAAAAATCTCTTCCTTATTTATTAGTTCAATCTCAGTATCAAATTTAAGGGTGTTAATGCACCACCATTGAAACTGCTTGATCAGCTGTCACTATAAACTACAATTAATCACTGATCAAGACTGCATTGTAAACAATATTTTTAAGGAACATAAGTCAGAAAAGTTTGTGAGCACTATCAGCTCATGTCAGTGAGTTTTAATCTATGCGGTACGTCGTCCAGCCGCTTTCATTTTTGACGGCACGGTGTCAAGTAGACTACATATTGTGAAATTCAAAGTCGAACCAAGTCCTTCGCATCGTATATAGTTTCCCAGTCACCTGATCAGCTATCTAGAATTTGAATGGCTTTGACTGATTACATTCTTTGTGTTAAATCACTTTTTGGTACACGGTTGACCAGCTCAGTACCGAACAAGAGAAACAGGGGACTAGTGTTTGTTTAGATCAGCGCAAACACTCTGCAGAAAACTACTAGTTGATGCGAAGGAGTAATACATGAGTCAGTGTCTCTCTATTGGTTTATCTGAGACTAAAGAACATTATAGAGATAATTCAATATTCACACCTAACCAGAAATAAACACCTTCAAAAGGAATGCTATATCTAACGAATAACTACATGTCAAGAGCTTCACTGATCTATTGAATGAACAAAGCAATGAGTAAACAGTAACTTTCTTAGAAGAACAGGGGATACGAACAATTTTTTCTCATGAAGACGACAGCAATAGGTGTCTCCCGTCTAATGCTAAGTCCTGTTGTTATTTCGAGTAAAATCGATTAAAACGTTTTGAAGACGCTCAGTTTGAAAATGTTGTTCACAACTATTCATTACAAAGGTAGAACTTCCTACATGCTAACTGAAATCTACTCAATGTAAGGCGAAAAAATTCATGTTCTCTTATTCATGTTTTTTATTCTATACATAATACTAAAACATTGATACATAATACAGAAGGAGTGGCAATAATTTTAAAAGGCCTAGATTGCGCAATACAAATATCAATAATATGAACAACAACAACAACAACAAAGATAACAGTGACTACTAGCAATAGGCGGGAATGCGGGGAAGTGGACAGTGGGAGAACACATAAAGAATAAAATTAAAAATTTTAACGGGAAAACATTTACACTTGAAAATTGTTGAACACAAAACGAAACCAAGAATAATGCAAACGAAACAGGAGCAAAAAGAAAAAACGGAGAAATTTCATCAAGACAACAGAATAGCAGCAGCGTAAAAGCCATGCCATTTAGTGAAATCAGTTGAGAATACACATGATCAGTGTGTATACACTTGAGAGAAAGACTATTGGTCAAGAAGAATTCTAAGCATTTTCACAAAAGAAATAATTAAGACAAGCCTGCCTGGAATGACTGACCACCTTCAATTCATCCTTACACACAAGTTTTTATTTATTAGAAGATAATTACAGGTTGGTGATCTTTTCATTTTCTGCTTCAGGCAAACAAGTTCACACACACACATACACACACATCAAGATGCACGTATAGATGAGGAACAGAAATGAAAGTGAATCAATCACTGAGTTACATACAGAATTACAGAAAATAACGAAAATAAACATGCCAGAGTAGAAAGTGTATCCCAGTAGGGGTATATGTATGAAAATTAAGAGCAATCTTTGTACAGATAGATCACAGATCTTACTGAAAATAAGTCGTGGAATTTTTCAACCACTTATCTCTTTTGTCTAGCATTCACCAGTTAACAGCTGCCAAGGTAACTCAACACCATTTATTGATTTCACTCAAATCAGAGCATAAAAATATATACACATAAACACACACACATAGTAAACTTGTGTCTAGTCAACAAAGGGATATTTGCACGCATGTATCCATATTGGCTTTTGTTTTGGTCACGTGGTAGAGGATTTGGATCTAGCATTGATTAAAAATGTAAGAGCATTAGTCAAATCAATTACTGAATGCATATCAGTTAGAAAAAATTTAAGTTTTTTCAGTGACATACATTGATGTTTATTTAATAACTTTGACTCTTTACTGCGTGAGGGTGGCATTCGCTGTGAGTAATTCCCATAACCTTTACAGAAGGATAGGGATGTTGAAGAGGCCGATGAAGAAGGGTAATAATTATGTCCTTTAAGTGAATTACTTCTACGCTGTGATGATATTAGATCAGGATCAGGGAAATCTCTAGATGTTGATTTACAATGCGTTTTAGCTAAGGTAAAATCAGAATAGACAAGAAAAAATACACCGTTCTGTTGACCACCATAGGCTACAACATTTCTGTATGCTATTGATTTTACACAAATGATTTTCTTGGATTCTGATTGAATTACTGGATGGGATAATTGTGAATTTGAAAATTTTAATAAATTACCACCGGTTAGTACATTGATTCTATCATCTTGTGGCACAATCCATATTAACTGATTTTCTTCAACTAACGGTAGATTATCCACTCGTGCTATATATGCAGAACAATTAAATCGATAAGGAAATAAACTTTTCAAGTGTTTTAAATAACCTAAACAAGCATAAAATGTTGCCATATTGATTTGATTTTCATGATTGCTTTTGAAGTCATCTTTATTATTCATTTTATTATTTAAATTTGAAGTTCCATATTCTTTAGGTGGTTGCGAATATTTTGAAATTTGTGTCCAACGTTCTAAAATTATTAATTTGATTTGAATAAATAGGCGTGAATCTGTTAGGTTTTTTGGTAACCATTCTAATGGCAAGTAATTTTCTAACAATTGACTAAAGGTAATTTGTTCATGACGTTTCTGTAGCTCCGTGTAGTCATAATAATCCGCCCGACAGAGATAAGCAATTAAATCAATAAAATCAATACCACGCATTGGTATTTGATAAAAACTTGATATAACACCTGCATGTAATTGATGCACAATAAAATTTAATAAAAATATATTAGATTTTTTATATTCTAAATTACGCATACATTTCCATGTAAATGTTTGTATTTTGAACAAAAGTTTTACAGAAATTTGATCCAATCTGATTAGATTCGACTCGTTATTTTGATTTGATTGTAAATTCTGTAGAGTTGATTGTTCATATACCGAAATGATATCGCATATTTTCCAGTTTGGATTTAAATAAACTTGTTTACAATCTGCTACCGACTGACCTAAACATAAGTAAATAGCGAATAAAACAATATTTTTGAAAACAACTTCATTCAGTTGTAGCTTTTCAATGATTTGTACTTGGAGATCGTGTATACTTGACCCGCCATGAAAGTTGACAACTTCATAATTCGAACCGAATGGTAAGTAGACTGGTAAAGAGAAGGGATAAACATGTGTATACGGATTACGTATAGACAGAGTGAATACTTCTAAAGCTGATGGATAGTACTCTCGCCCACCATACCGTTTAGTTCTGTTCAGCGTGTCCTGACAAAATGCTGCATAACCACAGATTTCTGTGAAAAATTTCATTTTCAACTGATTATTTTCTGATTTCATTTTATCTGCTATGTCGATTTTATCAACTGATCCTGTGGAATCAATATGCACGGAATTCATGTGTAAATTGAATAAGCCTTCAAGACACTTGATAACAGGTTCAGACGGCAATATAAATGTTAAAAATAAACACAAGCATTCCCATATAGCAATAGCCGGCCACCAACACTCTGGTCTTTTATTACTGCTGTTACTATTTAAATTTGTTTGTGAAATTATTAGTTTAGCAGTTGATGATGGCGAGGAAAGCAGCGATGAAACTTCACTCAGTGATTGTCTGTATTGATCCCCGATTTGAAAATAACTATTTTGATTGTTCTGCTTTAGATTTTCGTAAAATTTCATCTGCTGATTATTAGTATTATTAATACTATATGTTGTATCTGAAAAATTCTGGTTCTTCGTGCATAAAAGTAAAGATGTCAACGAATGTTTTAGAGTGGTTTTACTTTTCAGCAATAACTGATATGCATCTTTCGATATTTGTTTAGTATTGATTCCAGCGAAAATCGCTTGTTTTATCAATTGTAAGTATAATTCATCTTTTAATAAAGGATATTTAAAACAAAAGTTAATTATCTGTTTCATGATTAAATGTTTCAATGTCAGCCATTGTGAACAATTGATAAGATTGCTTATAGGTATTTCTATCGATTGAGAATTTGAATTGTCAATTAAATTAACTTGTGGATGACAAAGAAACAATAAATGATCGAATAAACGTAAACTAATTACTGAGTGATTATCGTTTGGAGTGGTTTTTGATATTGGCTGCTTAATTGATACATTTGAATGATATAAACCGTTTAAATGTATTGGATTGACAAGATGTTTCCATATTTTTTGAATATTTTCAAGTAAATTTGCTGTTGATGACTTTTGTATGCTGTTTATAAAAGTCGAAGGATTTGAATGTAAAATTGAAGCTCTAAGCAAACTATCTCTCCATTGTTCGCATTCTTGAAGTGTAGGACAAATTAAGTAGACCGGTTCATGATCTGGTGTCCATATTTTTATTGTTTGTTGTTCGTCCTGATTCACCTTGGAATATGTTAGACTGAGCAACAAAGAATCAGAATCTGAACTTGATGTTAACAACTGCCCAGAATCATATTGATCTGTCGACAATTTCAATAATCCATCAGATTTTTTATTTCCATTCGACTCCACTGAGATAGTTGACCGATTTCCAATCATTTGAACATAAGCATCTTTTAAAGTTTTGCATCCCACAGGAAGTGTACTTTTAGGACTCAGGGAATAAATCAGGTAGACGCCTGCTAGTTTACACCAAAACCATGAAACATGACCTCGTTTGATTCGTTTCAACCAGCCTTCTTTGGTAATTTGTGATCTGTTCTCATTGAGAATTCGGTCAGCTTCATTAATTCGTTGGATATCTTTGATAAGATTAATCCATTTAATCGTCTGTTGACTATCGATACCACGCAGTCGATAGACTTTCTTGTTGTGTAGTACCAGTTCAAAGTACTTTTCAACACGACACTTTTGAAATGAATCAGTATGCATGAATTTTCGTGATACAGGTGCACTTACATTTGGACGTTGGCTGACGTTGGCTCCTTTAGTAGTAACTGTTGTTGATGACGATAATGATATGGACGAATCAATTTTGATTAAATTTGAACAACCGAGTTGGTTAATTGATGTAGACATGTTTGTTGAACGACGAAGATAATGGATATCTGAGAAGAGAATTACTTTTTTCGGTTGATTCAACGATGACAGCTGACTAAATCCTGTCTGTTGATATTGGTGTAAAAATAATCCCTTAAGTGTTAATATACACCAGTAGTAGTGCCATATTTTAAGATGATTATTCAATTTTAATAAAACACCTGCATGGTTTTCAGATATTATTAATTTACTCTCGTCTGGGATGTTACTGAATGCATAGGTGTCTTCTGAAGTAGTTATTCTGTTTGCTTCAGGGGTGTTTACCTCAGAATTGTATAATTCATTTGATAATGGTCTTAATGGTATCAGATTTGATAAAGGTGATTGATGATCAATAGCTTTATTTGAACTAATCAATAATTTATTGATATCAATTGCTCTCTTTAAACTTGACTCAGAATTCGTACTGCTTAATTGTTCATGTGAAGTAGTATTTTCAGATATTTGTAAGATGGGCAATAAATTTGTTATATTCAATTTAATATTTTGTAAAAGATAAGCAAAACCAGAAACACAAGTGAAAACTTCAAAAAACTTGATAAAATTCAGGAGATATTTTAATGTTAATAAATCTTTATTATTTACTAAAATGTATTTTAAATTCGTATGAAATGAAGATTGTAAATTATTGTTTAAAAAGTCATTTATTGATCCCATTTTCAGCCGTGTTAAGGGTAATCTTTCTTGTTGTAATGTAATAGCTAATTGTTTACGGCCTAAATTATTTACTGGGACACTAAACGGTGGTTGATTCATCACTGAAGTACCTTGAAGAGGTAGAGAAGAAGAAGAAGGTGGTGGGGGTGCAGATGGGAAGTAGATTTTCGATTGATTGACTTGTTCTACTAATTCTGCTTGATTTATAACAGATTGATTTGATCTGTTTGTATTCGAGTAGATTGGTTGAAGATTTTTACGTGATGGAAAATATTTTAGTGAGACATCTTCATTTCTATCAGTCTGATTGATGGAACTGCTTGTATCACTAAAGTGTTGATTATCATTCGGTTGGTATAAATGTTTTCTTGATATATGCACTTTAGGTGGAACTTTGTTAAAATTCCTGCCCATACGCCTTTGTGACTGAGGCGTATTTGAACCAATAGTCAAACTGTATACATCAGAGTTATCAGAGACACTAAGGTTGAAACTGTTGACACGATTTATACTCTGTCTGGTTGGATGCGACTGTGACTGAACAGTATCTCTATCTGGATTAAGTGATGACTGTGTAGCAGTTGGTGGATTGCATAACCCCTCCAGTTTATACATCTTTGTATAATTATCTGGTTTTGTAAAGCTTCCCTTAGATATCCATCTGGTTGGCAGTATAACCGGGGAGACTGGTAGTGAAGTGGAGTAAGGCTTACTGGACTTTGCATTATACCTTGGTAGATTGTCTTCGAAGTGATGTCCTTTTAAAATCATTGAATCAGTCGATGAATTGTATGATACAATAGAAAGGGAACTGGATAACTTCTCATCTCTTGACGCGATAAACTGATGTTTACGAGATGCTATTGTCCGGTGTGTTGGTATGTCTAAGTCTGATGATGAAGTAATCGATGAGTTGTTGTACTGGCTTTCACTACTATTGTCTTCCTCATCTTCATCAGGTCGATAAATCAATAAGTCATCAGGTTTAAACAGTAAATCTTTGTCAGATTCTAATCTTCTCTCAGATCTATTCACTACTTCAGGGAGAATTGTTGATCTCTCTGGTTGACTGGGTTGCGGTTGGCGCTGGTTATTATTTTGGGATTGATTCATGTTGCTGTCTGTATATGTGGATTGTTTAGAGAATGTATTGTTAGCTGAAACTTCAGTGTCATGTATTAAAGTTTTGTTATGTTCTGCAAACATCTCTGATAGATCAGAACCATTTATATCATCAACAGGATTTTTATTCAAACAGATTTCTTCATATGCATCAGATAAACTTGAATACTCACCTAAACTGAATGAACTATTCGACTCCAGTAGACTTTGACGATCATTCATGCAATCATAACAGGCTAGTGGTGCATACTTCAAGGTGAATTTGTTATCCACCTGGTTAGTGTTTTTCTCTTCATCCGTTTTCTTCTTTAATAATAAGGTTTGTAGTCTGTTCTCTGAATCTGTACCTGTCACAGAGCATTGATCTTTACTCGTTGATTTATCGGCGTCATTGATTTCATCTGTTCTTAATCGTTTGAGAATATGAGCTAACTGATTTTCAAGACTAGTCTTCTCTTTCTCCAGTTTTTGATTACGTACTTCAAGTTGATGTAGGTGGGCAACCATTGCAGCATTCAATATTTTACTTGTAACAGACTTTCTTGTCACATCGCCACCACCACCTCGACCTCCATTATCAACACCTGATGTTGGCTGATTTATTGCTTTACCTCTAGTAGTCGACCTTGTTGTGAAATGCTTGAATGCATGACTAGGTAAGGGTATCACATAATTTGCAGCTTTACTCCCAGAATTATCGACTATCACTGTATGCGTCTGACTGTCCTCCCTATATTTAGTATTCTTTGGTACTTCATGTTTACTGGATTCACCTGCCTGATAATTATCCTCATTATTACCATTGTCATCATGATTAGATGGTGTACGATTGCCAGACATTCGTCTCCCACTCAGAGTGAACACACATAGGCTAATTGATAAACTAATCCATTAAGAAAGACACTGAGAAATGAAAGTTTTGAGCTGTTCATCAGCATGGTGTAATTTCCATGGGATATCATAAATACATTTTATACATATAAGTGTATTCCGCGTTTGTGTTTACTGATGATTACAGTTCATTTTTCAGAGAGAAATTATTATCATTATTAATAAATTCAAATATTCCATTATTTTGTCATTTGTATTTATGCGCATAAACTGTTTCGTAATATGCTTTTATATATGTACACATATAAATGCTTAGATGTGTGCGTGTTTGTTTACATGTGTGCATATACGTGTCGTCGTTGTGCAACAGTCCATACTATGATTATAATTGTAAGAAAATAGTTGAAGTCAACGTGATTTTGTATTTATTTTATGCTTTATACTTTATACAGTTATAAAGTATTATTTCTTGATCGTGATACAGACATACGTGTGTATAACAAGCATAGAGAAGTATGTAAAGAAATATGCATACGTGCTTATAATGCCTCGTTGTGAGTTAGGGATAAACTAAACTGGAAAAGAGAGAAATGGAGAACGCGAGCGAGAGAGAGGCAAACATTTAGTAGTCCTTTTAGAATTTATATAATAATATAAAAGTGGGGCAAACACATTTCTGTGTTGGAAATTATAAACAGGATGAACCAACTGTGTTTCTCTTCAACACTACAATGATATTATTTGTGCACTGGTGCATCTGATTGATGAATAAATAAAAGAGTACAGACATATTAACCAACATATGTGTGTATTCATAACAGGGTTGGCTTCAAAACACGCCTGTTTAACACATGTCTTTATGCTTCCTCACAGCTGAATAGTTGAACACGTTATATTGTATGAACAGAAATCCAGTCACCTAGATGTACCTTTATCTCAGCGTCCGTCTGTTCACTCATTTTACCAACCAAACTGGGCATCTGCCACTTCAGATGTCTGAGTGTTATCCACGTGGCTAACTATTGCTTATTGAGCTAACCTACTTACCTGTTTAATTTAAACTTTTATGGATTGAATCAATCAACCTCTGTTACTATAACCATGTCTTGCCACTTTCTATAGATTATTTCAAGCATATATTAAACGGTCAAACAGTTAATTTTCCTTTCATTGGACATTAGTTAGTGTCCTACAGTCCTACACAAGGTCATTTGCGGTGCCTGGGTAGCTTCGTGATAACGTCTGTAACTGTGGCACTGGACGACAAGTGTTCGGAACTCAGGAAAGACATGAGTTCCTTCAAGATTGCAGATACACATAGCTGAAGAGTGTCAACAAGCACGGAAACTACGTCCAAGGCTTCCCACAGATTGCTTCCAACCATCCAATAACAGTTGATTTTTTTCCTTTCTTCTTCCCTCCTGAGAATTTTCTTAGAAGCACACTACCATGAAACAATGAGTCACTCGTAATTTCACACCGACGGACAGTTTTTCTTTTACATATGGTATCTCAATTCACTTAACATAAACCCTAATAAATTTATCAGGATAGAAAAACCATGACACTAAGTCAGTTATCTTGAAGGATAGATCTGAACTATTCAGTATATATTATGCAATAAATAAATTTAAAAATTATAGTGAGTGATCTTTCAAGCAAAGTTAATATAAACATTATAAATATAAACACATTAGGATATGGGGGAAACGAGAAGTACGTTAGACAAGCTACAGCTAAAGCATGTGACAGAACGTTTTCATTGATCAGAAGCAAAAGTTATATGTTCAATGGCGATTAGATATTATCCTAGTTCTGACCACAAACGATGCCAATTGACAATTCAAGATGGTTTTATAATTGATATTTTGCATGGTTCCTAGGACACCTTTCAGTCTTTGAGTTCCTATGAAGGTACAGCTGGAAAACTAAAACTTGAAGCAGTTGATGGAAGGGAACTAACCAAAGGGAAGACTGATGTTTAATCCGACTCAGAAATTGGGAAAATCACCCATCCTGAACACTGACAGATTGAAAACTTTTTCTCAATTCAGTGGATGGTCGTGCACGGCCGATCTCAGCTGGTCGATCAGTGTGTCTGATTAACTCCGATAACAAACAAGACTACTAAACAGTGGACTGACCTTCTGTGCTCATCCAAGTCACGGATTCCATTGCTTCTTCGTGGAGAAGTGTGATAATGATCCAACACTATTGATGTCAGCTTCTACTTCATAGGGAGACAAACGGAACACAGAAGTCGGACAAAATTAAAGGTTTGTGATATCATTAGATCTTCGAAGTTACACATGCTCAATGATGGCAGTGACAGGGAGTCTGGGGGGGTTGGCCAAAAAGAATTGGATAAACTGTTTCACCACCGTTGTGACTTGCATAGAGACTTGCAACTGCACCCCGTGAACGAGGAATTCTTGATCACCACAAGTCACAGCTTCGGTGGTTCAGTGACACAATGCTCGCCAACCATGCATGTGGTTCGTGTTTCGATTCTCGGCCGGCGCACACCTCCACTTCCCTTAGCCAGTTGTTGGGTTAGCAAACGCTTCCCATTAGAACACTACTGTTACTGAAACCTCATAACTAAGGCTTCGAGTCCTATGTTCTACTCGGAACGCAGAAGTAATAAATTAATTTTTATTAACTTACAAGTAACAGATTTGAGTTACCGCCTTGCATGTATCGTTTCCAACGATTAATTATCAATCGATGTGGTATACTACTTTTTTGTATTCATTAAAATCAAATGAAAAGATAGAGTTAGACAATGTTTTATTTCAAGAGAATTAATTTGCTATTTACCCTTGTAGGTTGAATATAAAAAATCTATTAAAACACAAGAAATTTCAAGTATATTGCTAAGTAAATAAATTCTTGAAAGCGAAAAGTATAACACATTTTTTATTCTTCAATGTTTATTACACAAGAATGTACTCGATACCAAAACGAGTACCACTAGGACTACATGTTTTCAGTAGAAAAAGACAAAATACACAGAAATCGAAGAAGCATCCAAGTACTTAGAATGACTAACTAAGTGAATGAGCTGTGCAAAAATAGATAAATGAAAATAAAATAAAATTCGAAATTCGCAGATTGTAATTCTCCAATAACAATCTACACAGTTCCAGGTGAAATTTCACCATAGTTCCTTTTGTAAACCGAAATTACTCAGATCATAATATACGTGATCTGCTTGATATCGTAAGTGACAATCAAGAAAGCAAGCAAGCATAGGCGCTTGCCGCCATTTACTACTGATCGGTTCGCGTGATTAGTTAAACAGCACCCATATCAACCAGTACTGCTTGCTGATCAGATAATCGCTGTGATCTAATCACCAGACGGCCTTTCTGCCCGTTTGGAGCCGAGCAAATCACAGATGTGTCTGCTTCTACTCATCTTAGAGAGCCAAATCAATTCAAACCATGCGCATTCTGGTTAGCTACTTGACTGAACCGCTAATACGTAAAATGAGATTCACAATTCGCAAGTTAGTCAACGATTTGCAATTTACACTAGTTGATGTGAGTGGTGTCCAGCTACTTATGTCAGTTAATTAGTCGTAGTAGTAGTAGTATATAGCACCGCGCATAACTGAAAATACTTATTATAATGATCTTAACACTTGTGATTATTAAACGGGTGTTTATCAGAATGATACAACAAAATGTGGACGTATATGCATTGACTTCATTGATTTATTTAATTTTTTTTAAACCATCAAATTCTTAAGATAAAAGCTTCGATTGATGAACCAGTCTCAGTTTTACAAACATAAGTCTTCATTTAGTCGACCTAACAGTATTTCCAGGAAAATAGTGCTCATTCACTAGTTGATGATATTACGAATAACAGTGGAAAATATGTTAACTATATTTTACTTTGTTTTAAAGAAACCTAAGCATCAATCATACTGATCAAGTTTGCTACTGCTAGGCTCAACCGAACTGATTTAATTAAGTCTTTTTAGTAAGACTTAACTCATCATAACATACAATTAATCGTAGTAACTAGTATCAATGAGTCAAGGGTCAGCCAGTCTCAGTAGAAGTCTTTGTTGTTGGCCTGAAATGAAAATCTATATTACAAAACTACATCATATGATAATTAATTGCTCTGAAACCTATCTGCAGTACACTGTAAGGAAGATTCAGTGAATTCATTATGGACCTCAATCAGCTGATTGTTATTATTCGCTTGGGTTCCAGGCGGAGAACAAGGCCTCAGCAGCACACCCCTATTCCGTCCTGTTCTCTGCAGTCCTCCTTAGCTGACTCCACGACTGACCATATCCTCCAAACACAATCTCCTCCATGTTACTCTTGGAGTCAGTACTTGTCGTTCCCCTCTCGGGTTTCACTCCATGACCTAGCGAGGGATGTTAATTGACAACCTCCCCAGTCTGTATCTAATCCATCTCCATTATCTTCGACATATTTCTAGACCAGTAGTCTCTTGGCACAGTTCTTTGTTGCTTATCGTCAATAGTCACCAGATTGGGCAAAGGTAGCTGTTGATGAAAAACTGAATTGGCCTGTTGGAAGCGCTTTTCATAACGTGCTCACCATATCTCCGAAACATACAGAAGTTTCATACATTTGTTCCCCTTAATATATTTGAACAAAGCAACAACTACAGTTTTAGCAGAATAAAATGGTACCATATTTTATTTCGTCGCCTTCTTTTCAGCTGCTTACAGGGCAAAAACATTATTAAATGTATCTACAAAAACAATTTAACAATTAAGTTTGCTGAAGCCTTTTCCATCAAGCGCCTAAAACCTGATTTGTGCGTTCAGAAAGAAGCAGTTATCAGTCTTTCTTTGCCCTGGTAACTGGATATTTTTCATCCTAATACGAGATACTGAAAAGTTTTCATTTTGTATGATTATTATTGCTCGGAATTGTGTTCAATATTGCATATATATTATTTGTCTATGTGTACATTGATCGATTGATTTTTGTTTAAAATGAACTCTGTGCAAGTAT